TTTTTTTTTTTTTTTTTTTTAAGTTTTATTATTTAAGTAATCTCTACACCCAACGTGGGGCTTAAACTCATGACCCCGAAATTAAGAGTAGCACGCTCCACCGACCGAGCCAGCCAGGCGCCCTGGGGATTTTTTTTATCTTTAAAGATAGGAGAAATAAAAGCATATTTTATGCTGATGAAAAGATCTTTGCTTTTCCAGTGAGAGACCTAGCCTTCTCACCCACACTCCCTTCTTTGGACTTCATATTTGGATATTTGCTATTTCTTGGAAGAGTATAATTGGAATCTGAACTGATATGAAGCTGAGGATTGTGAAATCCAACTTATTTCATATGCAGAATTCTTCTCTCCCCCCAACTCTTGATTCCCATTGTTCGGAAGAAACACAACGTAGATGGGGTCAAGACTGTCCTTAGGTTCAGTGGAATTGCTTTTCTCTCATTTATTATTTGGATGGTTCTTCATATTTGTAATTTGGTGCTCTATGTCAACTCCATAGATAGGGCCTTTCCCCTATTTCTGTATGATGATGGTTCTTTACTGATTCTTTGTTACTCCTGCTTCAAGGGAATGACAATGACCAAAGAAGTCTTAAAAACGTAAGGTGAACCCTGTGGCAGTCACTGGGCTGTTCACAGAAATTCCTCCCATCTGGACACATGGGAGAGCGACTCTCAGATACGACTGTGCAATTTGCCCTAACCAATGAAATGTAAGCTAAGTGATGTCACTTGGTAGCAGAATCTCAAGAACCAGTGAGCAGTCTGCCACATTTTCTTGGTTGTTGGCAATTGTGGAAGCACATGTTGAGATACAGCCCCTATCAGCCAGGGTCTGAGTCCTAGCCATGGGCTCCCTTGCTAACCCCGGAAACACATCTAGTAGGAGAAATGAACCTTAGTTTTATTCGTTTTATTTTGGGACAGCAAAACCCAACCTATCCGGACTGACACAACGTCTAAGCAAAAATAAACGTTGGTGTTCCACTCTTCCATTACAACCAACAGACTACAAAATCCAGGATATGAAAGTTTTACTTTCCCATCCCAGCAGCAAAGAAAACCCAGGAAATAACACAGGTGGTAAAACTTCATCTCGCTGTCAGTTCTCCATTAAATAAAAAACAACTGAACCTTTAAAACGTTAACATTGTTTCAAAAATATTTCTCTCCTGGGGCGCCTGGGTGGCTCAGTCAGTTAAGCATTGGACTCTTGGTTTCGGCTCAGGTCATGATCTCATGATTCATGAGATCGAGCCCTGAGTTGGGCTCTGGGCTGACAGCATGGAGCTTGCTTGGGATTCTCTCTCTCCCACTCTCTCTACCCCTTCCCTGCTCATGCTCTCTCTCTCTCTCAAATCAATAAAAAAAAAATTTAGGAGAGAACTTTTCTTCAAGAGACCTAGTCAGACTACCAAAACGAAGTTCAGTGTATTTCAAAGTTTGTTCTCCAGGCCATCTGTGTTAGATACTCCAGGGGTGCTCATTCCAAATGCAGATTCCCTGGTCTTGGCCTCCAAGAGGAGTCCTGTGGTTCTTAATTCCTAGAAGGTTCTGTAATCTTGATCTGTATTTATATGTGTGGTATAACACAAAAATATATTTGGTGTTTGTCCTAGGTTCCTGCCCTAGAGCTGCTAAAACTTGAAATCTCCTGATAGCAGTGACTTTTGTTTCATAAGGAGCCTGAGTTTATGCCAATGAGGTCACTTATCGTGGGGCCCCCAAACAGCTCTACAATAAGGGTTGAGCTGGTCACCAGAAAGACCAAGTGATTAGACCTCCTGACCGGCCTCTAGAAGCAGATGGAAGGAGGGTGTTGGAAACTGAGCTCTATAAACTCTTTTTCAAAATAAAAATGTTTATTTTTGAGAAAGAGAGCGTGAACAGGGGAGGGGCAGAGAGAGAGGGGGAGACACAGAATCCAAAGCAGGCTCCAGGCTCCCAGCTGTCCACACAGAGCCCAACGCAGGGCTCCAACCCAGGAACCACAAAATCATTATCTCAGCTGAAGTCGGACGCTCAACCGAGCCACCTAGGCACCCGAGCTCTATAAACTCTTGAACAGGGAGATTTAGAGGGCTTCCGGGTCAGTGAACACATCCTAATGCTGGGAAGATGGCAGGCCCCGCATCCCTCCCCTTACTTGCCCTATTTGTCTCTTTCATTTGGTTGTTCTTGGGTTATAGCCTCTACAATAAGCAGGCAGATAGATGTAGCGTTTTCTGGAGTTCTGGGAGCCATTCTAGCAAATTATCCAACTTAAAAGAGAAGGGAGTAGCGGGAACCCCCCTAATTTTACAGTTAAGTTGGACAGAAGTGTGGGTAGCCTGGGACCTAATACTTGTGACTGGCATCTGAAGTGAGTGAGGGCAGTCTTGTGGAACGGAGCCCTTAAACCTGAAGGGTCTAACAAAAACCCTGGGTTGTGTCAGAATTGAACTGAACTGTAGGACATCCAGTTGATGTCTAAAGAATCAGAGAATTGATTTTTGGTGTTGGAAAACACCTTAGAAATAGGCTACCAACGTAACACTGAAGTATATTTTCAACAGACTGTCTGATGGAGTTTACACATGCTTCGACATTACAGAAGAAATGCTGGTGTACGAGACAAATCATACTTCTGCATAAAAGAATTTTATTTAGTGGTCAGATCCCGATGAATAATGCCAGTCACTGCTTGATTCTGCTAAAATGTACTATTAGATATACTCTTAAGAAAATGTACAGTGCATCACCAAAAGCTGTTTAATTTGGATTGTGTAGAGTGAAAGAAAACTTCAGAAATCTTTGTTTTCTGGTAAAATCTTTGAGATACAAAAATGAAAAAAACAAACCCAAAAGCAGTATTCCAAAATAATAAATGTCACCTTGGACTATTTACAGTAAGATGCCTTTTTCCCAGGAGGATGCTCTCTGCTTGATTCTTTTCCTCACGTGTTACCCGTCTCTTGTAGGTATTCTCACCCCCGCCTGCCCCTTCTCGAGGATTTCTTCCACTCCTGTCTCGCTTGAAGCAGCCATCTGTTCTTTCATCTTTGAATCTTTCTCGGATACTCCTTTTTCCCACGCTTGAATGACCAGTAATTCTACCGAACAGACGTTTGCTGAGCACCTATATGTGCTAGGCACAGGGCTAGGAGGCAGAGAGACATTACAGAGATGCAAAGTCATGGACCCCTTCCTCAAGAATCTGAGTTCGGGTTGAATTAAAAAACAGTTTTGTTTTGTGTTGTTTTTTTTTCACATTATATTCCACGAGATTCCAGCCCCCGGTGAAGTAAATGTGGGGATTTCTTGAAACAAAGCGCACTCACACAGGGTCCGCCAACTTGGCCCATTCCAAGACATTTTGAACTAAGAATTCTGCTCTTTATGAAGCCCAGGCCTATGGTCTGCATTCTAAACTCTTAGCAGGTAGAAAGCAGGTGTGCTGGGCAGTAGAGCATCAGCTATGCCAGTCTGTTTGGGGGGGGGGGGGGAAGGGTAATCTTTTAATTGGTTTCTACAAATTCCAAGTATGAAAAAGCCCTTAACTCCCCCACCCCCCCACCAAAACACTAAATCGTAGCTATAGATACATATTAAGCTCTTCCTTGATCTTGACTTGTAACAAGTGTTCTAAGACTCTTTTTATAATGTCCAGCAGGAGCTCTTTTTATTACCTCCACAAATATTTCTTTGTGCTTTTCTGTGAACATTTTCTTAGCTTCAAACATAAAAGCAGCGAAGTAAGCCTGCAGGTGACCTTTTTTTTTTTCCTTTCATCATGGTTAACCTGAAACAAATTCAGCTCTTGCATTTGGCCTACATCGTCTCTGTCCACGAGGCCTTGAGAGACCCATGGTAGTTACTTAAAGAAAAAAAGAAGACAAACCATGAAATATAAAACAAAAGCTGTGCCTAGCATACTATGGAAGCAAAAACAAAACCATGCCCTCGCTGCCCCCATCTTGTTCCGTGCCTGGCAGATCATGTCCCTACAAATATTCACATTTGGAAATATTTCTCAGTCACAATAAAGTCCAAATCGTGGTAGTGGGCTTGCAGCCTATCCCTTTCATTGACTCTGCACAGCCAACCACCGAACGATGATGAAGGGAGTTTTCGTGGGGAAGTTCTTGACCCCATGCCATTCAACAGGTTACACGGGGTCACGTCTCTGTACAGTTTCCATCCAATTAGATGATACTCAATCTATTCAAGCGCCAGATGCAGAACTTCCTCATGAGCTGGTTCCAAGCCCTTTGGATCTGAAGGCAACTTTGGGAGTTGGCATTATTCCCATGTTACATTTGGCCTGCCCTACCCTGTGGTAGGGGGAACACAATGCCTGAAATGTGTGAAGAGAATGAGAAGAGCAGGGAGAACTGGGAGAGAGAGGGAAAAGAGAAGTGATCATGCACAAGCTTCTTGCTCTGTCGTGCATATATTTTCAGTGTAACAGCGTGTATTTCGACACATAAGGGCTTGTGCTTTTTCGTTAAAGAAACAACTTGCCCTGAAAAGCTCATTTGGCAAATGTGGCCAAGAACGTGTGTGTGTGTGTGTGTGTGTGTGTGTGTGTGTAAAATGTGTTATGAGGCTCTGTACCAAGTCCTGCGGGTGTATCTTGCTGGCCCCTCCCTCCACCACACCCACCTCGCTGGCAAGGAAAAACTGGTGGGTTACACCTGGTCGGTTTGATATTCAGAGGCTTCGGACAGGCTTTCTGAGAAGCTCAGGAAATTCTCCTGGTATTCGGAACAAACAATCTCATAGCGGTAATGCCGGAACTCTACAGCAAAGGTGCCAAAATAAGACAGGAAGCACATGACCAGACCCCACTGGACCCTGGCTGCATACATGTGGATGCCTTGGGCCATGAGGATGAAATCTGGGGAGGAGCAGTCAAGGAAAGTACCCCCATAAGCCACCTTCAAACCGGGCTCTTTTCTGGACAAGGACAGGTTACAAGAAAAGTCTTACTCTCCGCCCCCTCATCAGCAAAACTTAGCTTGACAGCTTCCTGAACGCAACACTTGCATGAATAATACAAAATAACATTGCTGAGCTCTTCGTTTGTGCCAGACGTGCTTCTAGGTGCTTTCACAGAAAATCTAAATCCTCACAACAATCCTATTGTTATCAGTTCATTTAAAAATAGGGGAATTGGGGCGCCTGGGTGGCTCAGTCGGTTAGGTGTCCGACTTCGGCTCAGGTCATGATCTCATGGTCCGTGAGTCGAGCCACACGTCGGGCTCTGTGCTGACAGCTCGGAGCCTGGAGCCTGTTTCAGATTCTGTGTCTCCCTCTTTTTCTGCCCCTCCCCCCTCATGCTCTGTCTCTCTCTGTCTCAAAAACATTAAAAAATTTTTTTAAAAATAGGGAAACTGAGGCCAAATGGTTAAGTAACTTGCCTGAGGTCACAAAGATGTTCACTGGGACAGCTGGGATTTGAATACAAGGACTCTGGCTGCCAGGCCAGGCATTCAACTCTATAGCTACCTTCTCAACTGTGAGATTAGCAAGAGGATTAAAATTCCAAAGAAATTAGTTGGCCAGAAGAATAAATTTCTCGTTTTAAAAAAAATCACTGCAAATGACTATGGCTTTATAGTCATCATTTTATCTGCAGAAATAATTTTGAACATATCAAATCACCAATTACCTACATATAAGCTTTACCTCTGCAGTGCTACTAATGTGTAAGTGGCTCCTTTTCCTATTCTGTCTCGTTTTCACTATTAAAACAAACAAAGGAGACTCCTATGCCTGAATATATATCGAGTGTACACACACACACACACACACACACACACACACACACAGCATACATGAGGTTGGAGCTAGGAAGGAAAATGTTTCAAAGCATGTTTCAGTGAAAAGCCAAGAGGCCAAAGACTAAATACATTTTTAAAGAAAAATCAGAAATGCTCCCTTAGAATTAGTGCTATCTCCAGACTTAAAATCTTGGGAAATTTTCAGAGAGCAAAAGAATATGGTGAAACTACTTCAGCCAAACTTTGCTCTCCTGACGAGGCCTGGATCCATTCACCTGGGAACCTAGACAGGGTTCCAAATGTTCAGAAACAACATGGATCAGAATTGTTTGGTATAAGCTGAAAACTCAAAATAATTTAAAGTCTGTACATTCTCTTCCCACTGAGGGCTCAAAGTACTGGCAAAGCAATATTATTACTTAATGAGGAAAGGATAGATCTTCAAATCTCACCCTGGCAGAATTCTGACCTTTTTACTCATAAAATATTTCATCACGTGCCTAGCAGTCAGCAAAATTTTTGGCTTGATTTTCCAGCCCTTAAATGTTCTCTAATGTGCTGAAGAACTTGAAAACAAACAAACAATTAAATGTTTGGCAGTTAGTGAGGGAAGAAGAAATAAAGATCCCCAATACTCCAGTAACTACAGGATGTCTCTGAACAATAAATATTTTCATATTTTAAAGCCACTTTCCCTAAGGCAAGAGGGTTTGGGGTTGAGTTCAAGAACTGTGCCTGAGTTTAAGTCGAGATCACTGCATACAGAGTGTGATCTTGGATAAATTAATCTCTGTTCTTACTATCATACTTGTTAAATGAGGATTAAAAGGGTTGATAATTTAATGTATTAATGTGCTTAGAACAATGCCTAGCACATTATAAGTGCCCAATAATGTTAGCTATTACTTGACCGAAGATGTGTAATTGGGTTAGCTACACATTCTACCACCTAGGAACCTTATTCCCTTCCTCTCTGGTTTCCTGAGGAGACCCTATTGGAGTGAACACTTGAGATCATGCCTCCCAGTGGAATGATCGGCTGATCTGACTGGTTGCACTGGAATTGGCCAGCTTCTTCTTCTTTTTTTTTTTTTTTTAATTTTTTTTTTAACGTTTATTTATTTTTGAGACAGAGAGAGACAGAGCATGAACGGGGGAGGGGCAGAGAGAGAGGGAGACACAGAATCGGAAAGCAGGCTCCAGGCTCTGGGCCATCAGCCCAGAGCCCGACGCGGTGCTCGAACCCATGGACCGTGAGATCGTGACCTGAGCTGAAGTTGGACGCTTAACCGACTGAGCCACCCAGGCGCCCCGGAACTGGCCAGCTTCTATTGGGCCATGTTACCAGTAGGTGGGGTCACTGAGCTCCCTCCAGGACTAGTCTCTCTGGGATCTGTTTGGGGTTAAGCAGAAGCGCTCTCCTCTGCCTGTTTTTGGTTTCTTTCCTTGTTACTTAATGGGTAAGTTGAATTCCAGAGTGTGAGATCAGAGGCCTGACACTTTCTCCTTCACAAATTAAATTAAATGAAATAAAAGGGCCATTAATAAAGTCATAAATTAACTTTTTTTAAGACGGAAGGGGAAAAAAAAATCACAATTCCCATTACGCATTCTGTGTTTTTCAGACAGGGAATCTTTTCCATCACTAATGACAAGGAGAATGCATGACACCATTCCTACAGATAGAAACAAATTTTGAGAAGGCAGAGCTTGTTTTAATTTTAGTTCTCTATCTCTTCAGGTCTGAGAGTTTTTGTTTTTATATCCATTTACCTATTTTGTCTAAGATTTTGAGATAATCTGACAGTACATGCTTACTAATCGGAAATGGCAGTTTTCTCATCTACATATGTGTGTTTTAATCTCCCTACCAAAGAATCTTTTCACATTCAAAGGATACAGAGGACCACACACAGAGTGATAGATGCTGAGAGAATAACTCGTGGAATCCCAACTTTCCGCCCTTCATTCTTGATGTTGACTTTGAGTGTCAATGCAGCCTGGATCCAGCAGGTCAATGTGCCAAATCCAAAGGTCAAGGAAGTTCCAACATTATGGATTTCTTCATCATTCGTGAGCTAAGGGATGAACAGATAATGACAAGGAGGCCTATTTAGAAAAGACATGATGGGAGAAAAAATAGGTGAAGTGATATCTCCATAACGGGATGGTAGGTTTTGGAAAGAGTAGAATCATTCATCTGTGCTGGCTCTTTGTGTTTGTTCTCAAATGGTTTGAACTCTGAGGGGGAAAGGGAGATAAACAGCACTTCCAAACCTCAAAACATTTGTTTAGAATAACCACTCAGGCAGTGGTAATCTATTCCTTGAATTTAATTTCCAGAAAAGCATGGAGAAGTCAAAGAAAAAAGCAGGAGAGTTACACAAAAAAGAGAAATGTCAGTTTCTACAAACATACACTGCAAACTTTGTTTTCCAGACTGAGAAATGAGACTTGGGATCTGGCTGTGTATTTAATGATTGAAGAGGACCAATTCTAAGAAGGTCAAGATTTTACTGTCATAGACAGCTAATAACATTTATTCCTACGTAATGTGATCAATTCATTGTTAATGGGATTTTGTTTTATTTTCCTCTTATAAGAAAATTGCCACCTAATAGCTTTTGCCGTATTTGTAGACCCATTAAACGACATTAGTGTTTGACGATTCCTGGCCAAGGCTTTTATAGAATTAATAGGTTAAAGGAGACCCATTCGGGTTATTTCATTTGAAGGTTAAAAATGTAAACTCTCCATTACCTACTGATTTAAAAAAATATGTTGGTCACTGGGGTGCCTGGGTGGCTCAGTTGATTAAGACCTGACTTCAGCTCAGGTCATGATCTCACAGTTCTTGGGTTTGAGCCCTGCATCGGGCTCTGTGCTGACAGCTCAGGCTGGAGCCTGCTTCAGCTCCTCTGTCTCCCTCTCTCCATTTGCTCTCTCTCTCTCTCTCTCTCTCAAAAATAAATAAACACTAAAAAATATACTGGTCACTTAAAACACTTTTAGCAATGATCTATATCTATATAATCTATCATCTATATGTTTTTTTCAATGCTGGGCTTGAACTCATGACCTTGAGATCATGACCTGTGCTGAGTTTAAGAGACAAACACTTAACTGACTGAGCCACTCAGGCACCTTGTTTTATATATATTTTTTTAATTACACGTGGGAAAATAAAATCTATAGCTGAAGAGATGGTTCTTACAACATGGTAAAATATTGTTTTGAATTGCCATTGCCTTCAGATGTTTTATTGTTTGACATTTCTGGGAATAATGGTTGCCTCAAGTCAATATTGCTTTCCTTTGACAACTTTTTCTATTGTTTTTGGCTGTAGTATTTTTTCCTCTTCTTTGGAAGAAGCCACTTTTTTCTTTCTTATTCGGAAGGCATATTTTCAAAACTCATTTTAAATAACGATTCCTCAAATTAAATTTTACTTTTAGGAAATTGGTTGTCCACACTATACACAGTCTATTCACTTATTAGTTTAAACTTGATTTTAAAAATAGATAATATATGGGGTGCCTGGGTGGCTCAGTTGGTTGAGCATCCGACTTCAGCTCAGGTCACGATCTTGCGGTCCATGAGTTCGAGCCCCGCGTCAGGCTCTGGGCTGATGGCTCAGAGCCTGGAGCCTGCTTTCCGATTCTGTGTCTCCCTCTCTCTCTGCCCCTCCCCCATTCATGCTCTATCTCTCTCTGTGTCAAAAATAAATAAATGTTAAAAAAAAATTTTTTGGGGCGCCTGGGTGGCGCAGTCGGTTAGGCGTCCGACTTCAGCCAGGTCACTATCTCGCGGTCCGTGAGTTCGAGCCCCGCGTCGGGCTCTGGGCTGATGGCTCGGAGCCTGGAGCCTGTTTCCGATTCTGTGTCTCCCTCTCTCTCTGCCCCTCCCCCGTTCATGCTCTGTCTCTCTCTGTCCCAAGAATAAATAAACGTTGAAAAAAAAAAAATTTAAAAAAAAAAAAAAAAAAATTTTTTTTAATAAATAAAAATAAAAATAGATAATATAATTACCTGGTTCAAACTTTAAAAAATTATAAAAAGAGTATGGATGGAAAAGTCTGTCTACACCATAGACTAACCACCTGGCTTCTTCACAAGCAACTAACTTGTGGTTTCCTATGTATTCTCTGTAGATATTCTAGAAAGTGTTCTTCATAAGTGGTGTTGAGCATCTGTGGTTCACCAAAACACTTCAAGTTTCTGAGCTTTAGGAAAGAACAAAATGTCTACTCAGTAACTTCCATCCAAGCCCTGGTTGAGAGAATGGATAGTGAGCACTTTACAACATCCAGAACCGGCAGCACAGAGCAGAGCAATAGCTCAGTCAGTCTGGCTTGATATGGGATGAGATCTAGAACAGAACGAGTGGGATGGCCTGTCAAAGAAGCCATCAATTCAAAAATACTCATTCAGTTGCTACTGTGTGCCTGGAGAAGTGCTGGGGAATGAGCTTTCCTGGTTTAATCAATTATCAGGACTGAGGGTTCGAACAAGAGACAGTCTTAGAAAATCCACTAGCATATTTTCTTGAATGCCTGTGCCAGCTGGATTTCACTCCACAGACAGGGAGAGAAGTGTCAGGATTCATGTTAGACTGCAGGGAAGAGGTTTCTAAACACAGTACAAGGCACAGGCTGGAGGACTTTGGGAAGAGAATGCAGGCAGGGAAACCAGACAAGTACTCTTCCAGTTGGTTGTCTATCTCACAAGTGGAGTCATTCGAGTCAAGAGTTGGATAATGGTATTGGCAAGGGAAATTATTCTTAAATGTAGTGACCTTGGGCTTCTAAATTTCTGGGAAGAAGACTTAGTGTGTCTTCACACAAGTCATAGATGTTCTAGAGAAATTCTAGGCTTTCTTTTTTTTTTAATTTTTTTAAAGTTTATGTATTTTGAAACAGAGAGAGAGAGAGAGAGAGAGAGAGAGAGAGAGGCAGAGAGAGCACAAGCAGGGGAGGGGCAGAGAGAAAGGGAGACACAGAATCCAAAGCAGGCTCCAGGCTCTGGGCTGTCAACACAGAGCCTGACGTGGGGCTCAAAGCCACGAACCGCAAGATCATGACCTGAGCTGAAGTCAGAAGCTCAACCGATTGAGCCACCCAGACACCCCAAAATTCTGGGTTTTCAAACTTGATTCCCACACGAGCTTGCTAATATGAAATGCAAGCTTGCATCCAAAAAAGATGTTCAGTGTTTAATTTTAGAAAGGCAATGATCCTATTAGTTTTCTAGAAAGTTACATTAGGAGACAATTTGTTATGAAAAAAAGCATAAAGCACTTTGAAATCCTTTGTATAAAATACACAGCTATTTAAAAAAATTTTTTAAGTGTTTATTTTTGAGAGAGAGACAGAGAGACAGAGTGCGAGTGGGGGAGGGGCAGAGAGAGAGGGAGACACAAAATGCAAAGCAGGCTCCAGGCTCCGAGCTGTCAGCACAGAACCCGAGGTGGGGGGCTTGAACCCACAAACCCCAAGATCACGACCTGAGCCGAAGTCGGAAGCCCAACCAACTGAGCCACCCAGGTGCCCCTGCACAGCTATCTTAGTAGCTCCTTTTCCCGTAGCCCTGCGGCAAGCACCCTCACATACGCAGTTCGAATGCAGGCAGGCCAGGCTGAACACCAGAAGGGCTGACTGCTGGAGAACCTGTGCTTATCAGGAACCACCGTTAGCACTTTTGAAAAGATCTGTGCAGGGGCGCCTGGGTGGCGCAGTCGGTTAAGCGTCCGACTTCAGCCAGGTCACTATCTCGCGGTCCGTGAGTTCGAGCCCCGCGTTGGGCTCTGGGCTGACGGCTCGGAGCCTGGAGCCTGCTTCCGATTCTGTGTCTCCCTCTCTCTCTGCCCCTCACCCGTTCATGCTCTGTCTCCCTCTGTCCCAAAAATAAAAAAAAATAAATAATAATAATAAAAAAAAAATGAAAAGATCTGTGCAGAATCCGCGGCTATGATACCCATATAGGTGAAGGGTAAGAAAGAGGTGAAGAAGGCCAAAGGAAGTACCTGAAAATTACCAAGTAAGGTCATTCCAAAGGAAGCCAGACACAGCGCCACCAATCCACTAATATTCAGCCATGGATTTAAAACCTTTGGTTTCAGTTGTATGAAGCGCAGAACAGCTACCACAAGTGCTGGGGACAAAACAAAATGTTAAAGTTTAAAAATCTGTCACACAGCCAGACTGTGAGGTAGAGTTCTTCTAAAGCCACAATGTGCAAGATTAAAGTTTTTGTCATGGTGCATTTTTATTTTGTATTTATTTTTTAAGATGTTTATTTAGTTTGAGAGAGAGAAAAAGCACGAGCAGGGGAGGGGCAGAGAGACGGCAGAGAATCCCCAGCAGGCTCCACACTCTTTACAGAGCCTGACATGGAGCTCGATCCCACCAACTGTGAGATCATGACCTGAACCAAAACCAAGAGTCGGATGCTTAACCAACTTGAGTCACCCGGGCGCCCCTCGTTAAGGTACTTTTTTAAGTCTCTGAAGTGACAGACAATTAAAAACAAAATTTTTAAAACTTTATTCATTTTTGAGAGACAGAGAGAGACACAGCATGAGCGGGGAAGGGCTAGAGAGAGAGGGAGACCCAGAATCCGAAGCAGGCTCCAGGCTCTGAGCTGTCCGCACAGAGCCCGACGCGGGGCTCGAACCCACGAACCGTGAGATCATGACCTGAGCCGAAGTCAGACGCTCAACCGACTGAGCCACCCAGGTGCCCCGACAGGCAATTGTTAAAAGAAATTTTTCATGCAATGCTTATGATTATTTGGATGTTTTATCATGCCTAACAAGAGGGAAGGAGAGAGGGGCTGAAGCCGCTGGGGCTGTATGTTATCGGGCGGTGCAAGGGTGACAAGCTGCTATTAGCGTTGTCCTCGGGGTTTTCAACACCAGGTCAGTACAGGACACACTGGCTTAGGAGAACATCGCAGAGGCCTGACACAACAAATAAGACAGGGATAAAGACAGCTGGCACGAGAATTCACTAATTCAACCACCCTTAAGTTTAACCGTGTCAGAACAGACATGGCAGGAAAGCAGAGGAAAGAAGACACGGTTCCACCTCTAGACAAACCTGCTGGTCCCTGCACCAGAAATCATTCTCGGGGACAGGAAGGAAGACAAGGCAAGTGTACAGCTCCCTTCATTACTGCTTTACCCCTTCTTCCCTCTAATTCTACCGGAGGTATCCATTGTCAAAGGACAAAGATAGTTGACCTAAATTAGAGCAGTTACAGTAACCAAATTACGAAATGTGAATTTTAACATGGCCGATTTGGGAGTTTGGTATGTACTAAAAATCACACTGATTATACTAATAAAGCTCAATTCTTCTATGATGGTAATTACTCATTTAAAAAGACCACCCCATCTTTTGAAGCATATTGTTATGAGGGAATCTGAGAGAGAATGAAGGAAGTTACCTAAATTTCAAGCCTGACTTCTAATAGTAACCCTGAGGGCAGCCCATACTCAAGCCACTCATGTAAGAATCCCCTTTCATTAATTGCTTAGTGCAGAGATACTTTCATGTTTGTACAAAGTGCTGGGAGAGGTTAGTCTACAAACAAGACAAAAAATACTTGCAGTTAATATAAATTATATCTACATATAAGGAAATGAACTTACTACTTCCTAAGGCAATTTATTTTGACATTAAAGTTTAGCAGGGAAGACAATTAGAAATCCAAGAATTACCCTATTGATACAGCAATTAAGTAAGTATTTGCTAAATGTTTTATCTTCATTATAGGCCCTTATTAATAGTCATTAATAAAGAAAACCCATCCATAAATTTGCATTTCCTAAATCTACTGAATTTCATAGTTTCAAGCTACAAAGTTAAGCTCAGCAAGTTGATTTTCAGTTCCAGGTACCTCGATCAAAGAGTGGTATGCAACTTGGTTAATATTTGGATTTTAGAGGGGCGCCTGGGTGGCTCAGTTAGTTAAGCATCCGACTCTTAATTTCAGCTCAGGTCATGATCTCCTGGTTCATGAGACAGAGCCCTGCATCAGGCTCTGTGCTGACAGCATGGTACCTGCTTGGGATTTTCTCTCCCTCTCTCTCTGCCCCTGTCCTGCTCACTCTTTCTCTCTCAAAATAAATAAATAAACATTCTAAAAAATACTTGGACTTTAGAAACAAAATAACAATAAACCATAATTTATTAAATGTCAAATTGTTCAGCTCTGATTTAGCTTTTAGTATATTCACATTTTATCTAATTCCCACTAGTGGTCATAGAATTAGTAAATGATACACTTGAGTTGACAATAGTCCAACCCTAATGGTTTGAGTGACCTAGTTAGAAGTTATATCTGAAGTCTATTGATAGTGACAAGTATCCTAGAGGATGAAAAAAATCAGCACAACGTCTTGCTACTTTTGAGGATGGGAATCAGAGGAGGAAGTAAGGAGAGGAGAAATTCCATGTAAGCCCTCTGACACAAAGTGATCATCAGATAAAGAGGTCACTAGATTAAGACCAGAAGCCTCAACACAGGGCACCATGGGAGACACTTGGTATTAATTGTGTATGGATATTAGGGCCTAATGACAAAATACCAAGGCAGCACATTTCATTTCTTTTAAAAATGACTAGTGAAAAGTTTTGCTCTGGCAACCATCTTGATGTCATTCAGTTTGGGGGGATAGGATTGTACTAGAATTTGGCTTAAGCCCTAAAACATGGCTGAAGCAGACACAGAAGGCTCTTCATGTTGACCCATCCAGTCAATTTGGTCCACTGTGCCCAGATGATGAGGGTCAGGCCATTCTCTGTTAGTCATTTCTGCCCAGGAAACACAGGACATGTATCATCTTTTGGTCCCAGCACTGGTAGCCTTCCCATTTGTAATATGATGATAAATCATTTTATCATGAACAGATGATGAAATTAAGCAGGAAACAGAAACCTACTTGGAGACATGAATTTGAGTCAACACTCTTAACTTCCAGAACAACAGTCCCAACACCACACTCTGCCCTCTTTACCTATTAACCCCATTATTAATCACCTTGGACTAGGCAAAATTTCCTTTAAAAATAGATTCTGTGGGTGCCTGGGTGGCTCCGTCAGGACAGCATATGACTCTTGACCTCAGGATTGTGAGTTCCAACTCCATGAAGGGCATAGAGGGTTACATTAAAAAAAAAAAACAAAAAAAAAAGATTCTAGGTGAAGGTTTAAGGTGCTGGAATTAGTAAGATTCTGGTCCTTTAACAGTTTTATTAACAGGTTTAATGGAGGCAGATTCAGATTATTGGTTACAAAGTCTTTTTTTCAACCAAGTAGTGATTTATACACCCTTGAAAAAGACTTATTGGCAGTGGGGTGATTTCAAAGCCGTCTTTATATATAATGACTTTTTTTTTTTTTATAACTACATTGATGTTCTAATCAGAAGATACATCTTTTAGTTTCATTAAACATTTTAGATTTCATGAATAGTTTTAGAAAAGATTTTTTTAAATTTTTAAAGTTTTTTAGTTTTTATTTTTTTACTTTGAGAGAGACAGAACACTAGCAGGGGAGGGGCAGAGAGGCAGGGAATCCCAAGCAGGCTCTACACCATTGGTGCAGAGCCAGACGTGGGGCCTGAACTCACAAACCGTGAGATCATGACCTGAGCCGAAATCAAGTCTGACGCTCAATTGAATGAGCCACCTAGGTGCCCCAGAAAAGATTTTTAAAACCCACCTTTCTGTTGTTTATGGTATTTAGAACAGTCCTTTGCTGTATGTGTCCCCTGTTTATCTATTTTAAAAAAACACAGATATTAGAATAATTGCTTATTTTCTTTACTAATCTTTTTCTTTTGAGGCTAACTGGGTTTTATTTATTTATTTATTTATTTATTTATTTATTTGGCTCCACACCCAATGTGGGGCTTGAACTCACAACCCTGAGATCGAGAATTGCATGATTCACCAACTGAGCCAGCCAGGCGCCCTTTGTTGGGCTTTTAAAGTTCAAACTCAAAATAGCAGCTCTTCATTGCAGTTCTAAACTGGTGCCTGGCCAAATTCTTTTCTGATTTGTTTAGTTTTATTGTTTATGCATCAATAATTCCTATTTATGACCGCAATAGAACACGGGAATCAATGTGCTTCGGCTGAAGGAGGGGGAACAGCTGCTGTTGGGTGACCGAAATCATTCAGCTCGTAGCTTTATCCTCACAACCTCTCCCGGGCAGAAAAGAATATTCCTTTCAAGAAATTTGTCTCAGGTCTCTTTTCTCCCCAGGAGAGATCGAAAGCGTGGATTCAGGACAAAGTGCAAAACTAATTGCGTAGAGAAAACAATTGAGTTTGATCTTTGATTAGTACATCAAAAAGACAGAAGATCTTTGCTAACTGATTTTAATAAATGCTACACTGGCTCATTTGTAGACTGTAAATTATAATCCATACGGCTGCCAAAAAAGCAATGATTTATAGGCAGTCCAGGTTGTTTCTTAAAGTCAGTTATGCCGTCTAAAGTAATAGTCCGAGGTCTGGCAGGGACAGGCCTGGGGAGATGGAAGGCCTCCGCCATTTCGAGCAAGAATCATTCGTAAATGGATTCCTCCTCACTCCCAGAGTTGATAAATAAATGATTGTTGGTTTCCTCCCACTGCACACTAATCTTCATCAGTTTTGTGTCTACCAGATGGCACTACAAATGATGGAAGATAATAAAGAATAAACCCTGGATACTGCAATACCTCAGAGCAAGAGCTAGTAAAGGCTTATTAAGTGCTTCTTGCTGGAACAGGGGAGGACCAGGGAATAAGATGATGACGAATGTCATCTGGAAGAGGGGAACTTGTTTTCATTACTCTGTTTTTGGAAATGCTTTTACAATTAGTTAATCATAAGCTTTATAACTGGATAAATGTGCGAGCTGTGCAAATTGACATTTTTAAGATTACACACTAAAGACAACTGGGAAGTATCAATTTGTCTTAAGAATATGAGGGAAGCAATATGTAGCTTCCAACATGTTCATTGGTTTCTTTAAAGCCCAAATGGAGGACAAACAGCTTGTGACAGCTTTTTAATAAGGACAGTCTCCTGTGTATCGTGATTAGATGAGGTAGTATTTGCAAAGCACTTAGCACTGTGCCTGGAATATAAATGACTGCTATTAATTACTGGTATTATTGCACCCCATGGGGAAGACCATATGACTAGGTACCAACCTGCAGGTCTGTGTGGTGTGACTGCAGACTGGCTGGGAAAGGTCCCTGACCCTGCAATTCAAGATCCTCTCTCAGGGCTTTGCGTTCTGTTAAATGCAGAGATCTCCTCAGCAGTCACTTATGCTTTGGTATGATTAGGTCTTTTCAGAAAAGTGGTGTCAAGGGTAGAAAAAAAAGAGTGAGTGTTAAAGCTCATGGTAGCTGAAGCTGAAGGCAGTGAAGACCAAACTCGCCTGACTGGGGCAGGCACTGGTGCCCACATGGGCACCAGCTGCGGTAAGAACTGCCCTTTGAAGAGTTGGGGAATAGCTGGGACATGAAAATCCTATTAAAGCTAAAATCCTGTTAATGCTGCCTATTGAGGGCATGAAGAGAAGAGCTTCTTCAAAGACTCAGCAATGTCAGCATTAGGGTTATATCTAACCTTCTCCTTAGTGGTGGCATAGCAGCCCATGCCTGATAGACACTTCCTGCTTAGACAAATGGGCTATATGTTTTGGGGAAGCCTGGGTGGTGAAAGGCTTTGACCCAAATAGAGTTAGGTCCAGGGAGGAATCTTATTAACTGCAGGAAAGCTCTGCAGTGTGCTTCTCGTCGAACTCTGCAGGTTCCAGAGAGGCCTCTTGGGCCTCACTGGGAACATTCTCCATGTGTCTCGTGTCTTGAGCCTTCTAAACTAAGATTGTGCCTGTGTTGCATGTTGGACCAACTGTCTCCCTTGATTTTCCAGGGGGTTTTATAGGACTTTCGTTTCCCAAAGCAAACATTTAAAAATAGCATCTTAAGGGGCACTTGGGTGGCTCAGTTGGTTAAGCATCCAACTTCAGCTCAGGTCATGATCTCACAGTTCATGAGTTCGAGCTCTGCGCAGGGCTCTGTGCTGACAGCTCAGAGTCTGGAGCCTGCTTCGGATTCTGTGTCTCCCTCTCTCTCTCCCCCTCCCTTGCTCATGCTCTGTCTCTCTCTCTCTCTCTCTCAAAAATGAATAAACATTAAAAAAATTAAAAAATAAAAATAGCATCTTAAGAATGAGTGGAACTCTTTGTGGGTGGAGTTCTACATAAATTAAATAACGGGTCACCTTTTAGGGGAGAGATGCCACAAACGCCGATGATTCCCTCAGGAATAACATCATCTTTCTTTCTTACTTGGAGTGAAACTTTCCCCATCCAAAAGAACCATTTCCAGAAAACTTTTGTTGAAAATTTCACTGGCCCATCACCCACAGTATGCCAATGGTGATAGTTAGCTGACGCTTTGAAAGACACTGAGGAGACTGGCCTTGGGGAGATGGTATACAAGGTCAACATGGACAAGGACAGAGAGCATGGCTGGTTCCCTCGACCCTCAGGGAAGCACTCACAGAACAAAGGGGCCAGGATATGAAATGACGGTCTTGGGCCCTGAAGAAAAGGTGTGGAACTGGGACCAGACATAAGTACTAAAGGTTTCTTCCTTTTTTTTTAAACCTACATCTCCATTTGCCATCTTGGTATGCATTTGTGTACGGGAGACTGAGTCACCCATGTTAATGCTGACCTTTAGATTTAAAGACCATATCTACACACATCAAGATTTATCACAAAGCCTATGCATTTGTCATCCTTGCCAGTGAAGAAATAAGTGTGGCATTCTTTTTAATGCAAATGTATTATACAATATTATATTCTTCTCATGCTGGATTTTATGGCACGTGAAATATATTATTTCATGCGGCAAAAGAAATAAAGTCGAGAATACACTGAAACGATGAAGATGGTGAAAATGTAAGGTAAAACAAAAAGCCAGCTTCAGCATGTTGACATGATACCCAATTATCAACTAAGCTAACCATGCTTTTGATATAGGTTTGGGAGAAATAAAGAAGAAATGTACCAAAGCATATAAAGCATTCTTTACTTTCTTCTTACCTAGGAATGCTGCCATGTTCATAACTTGACTAAACACACAGCTTGCAGGAGGTTCATCACCTGCAATACTTAAAAATTATGACATGTTTTATTATTACTGTATTAAAATCTGTCACCTACAATATACTGAATGTCTGTGTGTCCCTTCAAAATTCATATGTTGAAATCCTAACTCCCAATGTGATACTATTAGGAGGTGGGGACTTTGGGAGTTACTTAGGTCATGAGGGTAGAAGCCGTTCCCAGCGGGATTAGTGCCCTTGTAAAATAGATTCCAGGGGCACCTGGGTGGCTCAGTCGGTTAAGTGTCCGATTTCAGCTCAGGTCATGATCTCACAGCTCATGAGTTCGAGCCCCACATCAGGCTCTGTGCTGACAGTTCAGAGCCTGGAGCCTGCTTCAGATTCTGTGTCTACCTCTCTCTCTGCCCCTCTCCTTCTCATGCTCTGTCGCTCTGTGCCTCAGTCTCTCAAAAATAAATAAATGTTAAAAAAAATTTTTTTTAAAGAGAATCCAGAGGACTGTCTCATCCTCCTTCTGCTGCATGAGGACATGATGAGAAGATGGCCATCTGCAACCCAGAAGAGGGCCCTCATCGACACTTGACTGCTGGTACCCTGATGGACCTCCAGTGTCTACAGCTGGGAGACATAACTTTTTGTGGACAAGCCTCCCAGTCTATGCTACTTTGTTACAGTAGCCCAAACTAAGACACTCTCTCAACCTGTAAGATCCAACAGATCGGAGGAAAGCTATCCAGTTACCTTATATATGGTGCGTGCTTCACACCAGGTTTCCTGGAAAACAAAAAACACAAGTTAAAGTACAGTCAGTGCACAGTCTAACCTCACCAGCGGCAAAATTTTTGTTAAGTCTATTAATAAATAATCAATTACCCAGAGATCAACTTTACCTTTCAGCTGAATTTAATGGGAAAATTTTGTCATCTTCCACAGCTATAAAGTATCTGTGAAGAAAAAACAACCTAAGTTTATAAAACAAAGACATTTTTTTAAAAAAGACTTGTTTCCCAGAATGACTAGACTAACCACATTAAATCATATTCATTGTTTTTTTTTTTTTAACTGGGAAAAATCTCTTTTACTATGTTTACCTATACTCTGGTTTCTCTTCAGATCGCATGACTCTTTCACCTTTTACTATGTTTACCTATAGATCACTTAGCTCTTTAAAGTTCAAATGTGATTACTAACACTATTTCTTTAATTTTTAAAACACTCCCCAAATTAATGGTAATCATTATAATCTGGAAACTGGAAAACAAAGAAATGAGACCTTATTACCTTGGGCAAACTGAAGTACAATTAGAATTCAAATTTTCTAATTTCTCAGGAGTATGTGTTCACCTCTATTAGTGAACTTCAAGGAACCAAAATAATTTGCCGGCAGGGAAATAGTACTTGAAATAATAAGCAAGTGTAGGAGTGTTCTGTGATAAGCCAAGACTTATAATGTAATGATACCCATTTTATAAACATACCAAGCCCAGTCACACACAATAACTGGACTATGAACTGGACTGTGAGTGGAATCTTTGGCATGTTAGTATAATGAGCAAATCTTGCAAATAATGAATCCGTATCATCAGTTTATAGAATGTTCGTTACTGAAAGAACACGGGAACACAAAATAAGACCAGCAGTCTTCACTACCTGCTTTGCATTATTTATTACTCACTCAAGCTATTTACTTTGAGTAACAGAAGGAGGGAAGAGAAATGGAGACTTCAGCAAGGTTGAATTAGTAAACATTATTTTAAAGTATTTCTAAACACGTTTCTACATCAAAACTACCTTCCTATCTACATTGCAACCCAAGTCCTTAAATAATGAATGAAGAGAATACTCACACTATCCATAATCCAGCTGAAGTAAACAAAGTAAATACAAGAGGTAAAAACATCCATACGCTGCATTTCTTCCCATCCATGCCTGTACCACTGAAATGAAATCAACAGGTATTAATAACCAAGGCAAAAATTTATCTCAATCGTTCAGGACTGAAAGGAAGTTCACTCTAACTGAAAAGAATTTATGAATAAAAACTGAAAGTACTTTATGAAATCATGATCCAAATCAATTACTGCCACTTACTCATGTGGAAATCCCTTGAGCAGTTAATGTGGATGATTGTTATCTAGAATTGGCTTAAATATTCCAGAGCCTTAGTTGAGAAACAAAGGGGAAATTTCTCACAAACACATTTATCCTTATACAAGCATCAATGTTTTTTAAAAAGGACAAAAGGGCTTGGGTTAGGACTTTCAGAAGGGCTAGGTACCAAAGGCTTATTCCAATCTACTTTTAGTGCTATTATTAACATTCATGGATTTATGGTTCTATGGATCTGGCATGTACATATGCCTACAGCTTGGCAGACAAGAGTCCTGGAAACAAATGGTTACTAAATAAATCAGCAGTTCAGGAGGAAATGACAAATGCTTTGCAAATCTGAACTTTTCTCATGATATGTTATTGAGCAACTATCTCAGAAGACTCTAAAGATGAATGTTCTGGAAAACAGTGCATTGTGTATAATTTTAAATGAACTCCAACGAACACAGTGGGGAAAAAGAGCAGATGCCAGGCATTCTGGATGTTATATTTGAAAGCAAAAATAAATGAATAAAAAAATTCCCCACAAAAATGAAGTAAGAGAAGCTAAGCTGTAAGAGTGTCTATGAGAAAGCGACCTGGCACACAGACCCGACACACAGAAGAATAATGTAATTAATAGGTTTCTCTAAAGAGGTATCACTGCTCATCATTTTGGGTGATTATTATAGGGAACTACAACTTGTAACATATCGTTACAAGTTTGAACCAGCACTGCCACATATCTGAGCGCCTCCCTGATATTTGCTTTTGCATGCTGACACTCCCTGGACCTTCCAAATACTGAGGTCAGAGAAAAAAACATGGCCCTCCCTTGAGGATGGCCATGAGGTGTCAGAAAGGTCTTGGTTATCAGAACTGACCTACCTGATAAGGCAGATCTTTCAGGTGAGGGGACAGACACCTGACCCTAATAATATGCCTTTGAACAGTCACGCTGTAGCCTAAACAGCTATCTGGGTAGGGATGTTAAATAAATGACAGAATCTAGGAGTTGAAAGACATTAGAGCCACTTTCAATCAATTTAATCCAGTCTAATCCAATCCAATCCAATTCACGAGTATTGACATTCTGCTTGTGCCAGGTACGACACCAGGTGGTGGACATGACTGAGGTAAAGTCTAATGAATATAACTATACACAACAGTCTATACAATATATAAAAGCTATTGTATGAAGTGATGATGCATGGCTACCCAGTTTATATAATGTAGAAGGATGATGAACACTTTAAGTATACCCACTATGGCTAGTCAAGTCAGTATCTATTCATTTATTTATGTCCAGAAAATCGTGGGTTTATAACAAAGCTATCAATTTTGCTAACAAAAAATAATTTAATCATTAGCCAAGAAGTAGAGTGAGTACAGAAAATGGGAATGTTGACTGAGCATGTAAACCAACTATTCTAGATCTGCCCCTAATAGGATGCTCTGACAGGATGAGTACAGATGAAATGGTTACACTGGAATAAGAGTCAAGAGACCTAGTTTTCAACGTTAGCTTTGCCCATAATCAACTCTATGGGCCTTGGCTAGTTACTGAAATCTGTAATACCATCTCCCCATCTTGCTGCATGAAGACCGAATTTTAAAAGAGGCATCAAAGACTGAGGCCTCACAGGGTGGTAGTACTCTGGAGGTAACCCAAGCCCAATATTTTTGCAGTAACAGAATGCTCCAATGTACCCAGAATCATCAGCCCATGAGGAACTCACCCCTCTTAACCATTTTTACAACAGACTGGTAAATAAACCAAAGCCAACTGGTTAATTACAGTGAAAAATACAACTGCCAAATGGACAGATACTCACACTGGTTTCCCTTATAGGAACAGCTATATGGGAAATCAAAACTTGGAAGCAGAAAAGTAGAATGAAGAGAGTTATCAAGATAATTCTAAGACCGTGGCATCAAGCTCCAATAGTTTTATGCACTCGGTATGGCAGTGCATTGGACTGAAATCCACCTCTGTCGCTCAGTACTTGTGTGATCTCTGGCAAGTTATGTCATCTCTTAAGCCTTTGTAATTGTGGCGATGACTTCTATTTGGTAGGGTTGTGCTGAAGATTAATGACGACACAGGTAGAGCACCTCACACATAATACATGCTCTGTAAGGGGCGGCCCGGCCAACTAGACCTGATATCTTTCAATATGCATTGCTCTTCTTATTTTATCGTGAAAGCATCCAAGGTGGCTAGTGGCTACCCTCCTAAATTATTTTATCTTTACTAGTTTAATTCTCATACAGCAAACTTGCATCCAAACTCCAGGAAAACCATACTGTATTGCTTGCCTAATGATAGATGAAATTGCCCTTTCTTAACTTAAAGGGATGCGTTGGAGGTGAAAAGAGTAAGTCGATGGATAATTGTATTATTACCTTCCAGTGGAACTACTTAAGAGCTTCTTCAGAATTTTCACATTAGTTATGCCTTTTTGGGGGGCAGGTGGTGGTAATGGCAAACTCACATGCTGTTGTAAGAAATAACATGCAGAGATCCCGTATATCCTTCACTTTATCTCTCCAATGGTAACATCCAGTATAACTACAGTACAACAACCAAGGTATTGACATTGATACAATCCTTGACTTCATCCATATTTCACCAGTTTTATATGTACTCCTTTCTGTGTGTGTATTTAGTGTTATGCAATTTTTCATGAGTAGATATGTACGATCACCACCACAGTCAACTTATAAAACATACAGTTGTTCCTAAAAGGGGAGCCAATATGACATGAGTTACATCACCTCAAAAATTGCTTTTGTTGCCCTTTTATAACCACACACACTTTCCTCTCCCACACCCTTCTTTCTAATCTCTGGCAACCACTAATCTTTTCTCCGTTTATATAATTTTATCATTTCAAAATGTTATACAAATGGAATCATATAATATGCAACCTTTGGGACTGGCTTTTGTCACTCAACATAATTCCCTGGAGATTCATCAAAGGTTTGTGTTCATTAGTAGTTTGGTACCTTTTATCATTGGGTACTATTCTATGGTATGGATCTACAAATTTGTTTATTCATCCATTACAGGACATCTGGATTGTTTCAAGTTTTGTTTGTTTATTTGTTATTAAAAAAATTTTTTAACGTTTTTTCATTTTTGAGACAGAGAGAGACAAAGCATGAATGGGGGAGGGTCAGAGAGAGAGGGAGACACAGAATCTGAAACAGGCTCCAGGCTGTCAGCACAGAGCCCGACGTGGGGCTTGAACTCACGGACCGCGAGATCATGACCTGAGCCGAAGTCGGATGCCTAACCGACTGAGCCACCCAGGTGCCCCATGTTATTTTAGAGAAAGAGGGAGAGAGCACGCATGAGTGGGGCAGATGGGCAGAAGGAAAGAGAATCTCAAGCAGACTCCATGCTCAGCACGAAGCCCAACATGGGGCTGGATCCCATGACTCTGGTATTATGACCTGAGCTGAAATCAAGAGTCAGACGTTCAACTGACTGAGGCACTCAGGCACCCCTCAAGTTTTGGGTTATTGCAAATACAGAAGCTATAGAACATTAGTGTATGGGTGTTTGTGCCAATGTAAGTTTTTATTTCTCTGGACTAAATGCCCACGATTGCCAAGTACTGGGTTGTATAACTGCATGTTTAGTTTTAAAGAATCTGTCAAACTTTTTCCAGAATTGTTGCATCATTTTACAATGCATATGGACTCCAATTTCTCCACACCCTCAGCAATATTTATTTTCGTTTATTTAGTAGTAGCCACCCCAATGGGTATGAAGGGGTATCTCATTGTGAATTTGATTTCCATTTCCTTAATGATTAGTGATGCTGATTATATTTTCATGTGCTTATTGGCCATTTATATTTCTTCTTTGGAAAAATGTCGACTCATACCTTTTGCACATTTGTATTAAAATTTTTTTTCATGTTTGTGTGTGTGAGAGAGAGAGAGAGAGAGCAAGCTGGAGAGGGGCAGAGAGAGAGGGAGACACAGAATTGGAAGCAGGCTCCAGGCTCTGAGTTGTCAGCACAGAGCCTGATGCGGGGGGCTCAAACTCACAAGCCATGAGATCATGACCTGAGGTGAAGTCAGACACTTAACCAACTGAGCCCCCCGCCAGGCGCCCCTGCACATTTTTAAATTGGGTTGTTTGGTTTTGCTGTTGTTGAGTGGTGGGAGATCTTTATATATTAATATATATTCATTAATTCCTGGATATTAATCCCTTATCAGATATATGATTTACAAATTCTTCTCCCATTATGTGAGTTGCCTTTCAGTCTGTTGATAGTGTCCCTTGATGCACCAAAATTTTAAATTTTGATGAAGTCCACTGTATCTATTTTTTCTTTTGTTGTCTGTGCTTTTGGTATTCTACCCAAGAAATTATTGTCAAATCCAACATAACTTCCCCCTATGTTTTATTGTAAGTGTTTTATAGTTTTAGCTCTTCCTATTTAGGTATTTGATCCATTTTGAGTTAATTTTTTGCATATGGTGCAAGTAACTTCATTCATTTGCATTTCCAGAGCCATTTGTTTAAAAGACTCATTTCCCCCATTGAATGGTCTTAGCACTTAACAGGGTCTTTTGCAGAGCAAAAGTTAACATTTTTTTTAAATTTCATTTTTTAAAATTTACATCCAAATTAGTTAGCATATAGTGCAACAATGATTTCCAGGGAGTAGTTGTAGTGCTTGCCACCCATTTGGCCCATTCCCCTCCCACCTCCAGTAACCTCTGTTTGTTCTCTAATTTGTGGGTCTCTTCTGTTTTGTCCCCCTCCTGTTTTATATTATTTTGTTTTTCTATTTCATCTGTTTTGTCTCAGAAAGT